TTATTTATAATACCAAATGCTATTACAAACTTATTAAGAATATGAATTATGTATGACTGAATAATATTTAAAAAGAAAAGAATCTTATATTCAATTTGTGAAATAGTTTGTTAAAATATTAGAAAATTATCCTAATATAACACCATCCTATTTGAATAATTAATATCTCTTTTATATTTGACTTAATGATCAAAAACTTAATATTTAAATAAAATGTTTAACAAAATTTAATCAATACTTTTTTATTTTCTTAATAATATTCCTTATTGCCAAGATTCTGTAGCTTGAATTTTCAATACTAAAAACTGGATAATTTTATCTTCTAATTAATATGCTTATAAAATATCTAATAAAGTTTTAGATTGATTAGATTTTTTAACTAAATCTACAAATAATTTTGACATATTTTTTTAAAGAATTATTTAAGACACTCAAATAATTAAATAAATTAGAATTTAGTAATATATTTGATTTATTAAAAAAAGACATGAAAAAAACAATAATTCGTTTTGAAAAATAGATACTTTAGTAGATTAAATTACCTTTATCAGTCTGTCAACTAGATAAAAATTTTCTCATTTTTTTGTAAAAAATTACTGTTATGTCATTTCAAATCTTTTAATAATTTTTCAACTATCTAAGTAAGAGATAATGTATATGCAACAACTTGAAAATAATATTAGAAACAATATTTTAAATGATTTTGGATTAAGATCACTCTTCATTTTAGATTTGATTTTTCATGAACAATTTAATGATTTTTGTAAAACATTAATTCTAATTTGTTTAATTAACTACTGTTTTATAAGTTCATAATGACTAAAATTTATTCTATAATAGTACATTAACAGCAGATTGAAAATATGTTTAACATGTTGGATCTAAAAACTCACTCTAATATGTTGCTAAATCTCAAAAAATCTAAATTATAACTTTCTAGAATAAATTTTTAAAAGAGAACATTAAAAATAGAATTGTTGATATTTAACAAAATAATAAAAAAGAAAAAGAAACCTTTGTAAAGAAGAGGATAGATTTTGGTGCACAGAATGTATTGACTACATTTAGTAAAATATTTCAAAATTAAAAAAAATTTATATTATCATATCGTTAAATGATTATTATGTAATTGATTATCATATAATAAACTAGCCAATTATATTATTTAAAAAATTTTACTATCTGAATCTGATATGGGACTACAAATATGTTTAATTTAACCAACTGACCAAACATGTGTTATGACATGACATTACTAATTATTTTGTTGATGGGTTCAGATGAGAAACTTCCAAATATGAAAATAATCAGAAAGATCATTACATAATTTAACACAGTGACAAAAAAATTTTTATATATTTTACAATACTTTTTTAGGAGCTTCAGGTAAGGCATCTTTTTTATGAAATATGACTAAATTTTCTAAGCAAACTTGAAGCTTTCGCACTGTATTTTAACAAAATCAGAGAATTCATAAGGATTCAGTTAATCTTATATTACAATTTATTGATTAAAAATATGTCTAAATATAAAGAATATATAGAATGCAGAACTACTAAATCACAAAAATTTTGCTTGTTAGTAGGAAAAAAATAGAAAGAAACTAAAGCTAATGGTTTAATAAAAACAACTTGGAAAAAAAATGCCTACTTATATCACAATTGTTACATAAATTTTGTAAAAAATTAATTAAAAAAAGCTAAACAGGCAAAAGTTTTAGTTGAAGAAGTTAAAACTAATGTAAATATAGTTGAATCTGATGTAGATGTAGCTGAAGATAACATAGATGTAGTTGAAGCTGATATTGAGATAGTTGATGCTAATGTAGTTGATGTAGTTAAAAAAGATGATGATATAATTGAAATAGATGTAGAAGACATAATATAAAAAGAAATAAAAACTAAAATTAATGAAAATGCAGAATTGAAAAATGTAGAAGCTATGATGAGAGAAGATGTAAAAGCCATAGATGATGAGAAGGTAAGTATGATTAACTTCATTGAAGTTATTAGATCAATGGCATAAATTTTTTATAAGAGAAAACATATACAGAAAGAAGGCCCTATCTATTCATTTAATGAGATGTGAGAATTACTTCTACAAATTGACCCAACTCTTAAAAGCTTCTTCGACCAACTTTATTTGTTAGCTCGGCTGTTTAAACATTATGAAAAAATAATAGGATGTATAAAAAGATTAATAATGTTTTTATATTATCTTCTTGCATCATTAAATAATTCCAAAATTAATTCTTTTAAGTTTAATTTAGCATATTATTTAGATTCGACAAGTACAAATAATGAAGATTTGAATATTCTAGCTAATATTAGCATAATGATAACTGCAAAGGCAGTAGATTATAAGAAAAAGCAAGTTTCAGAAGCATATAGAGAATATGTCAAGATGATTCTTAAAAAATCTTTAAAAGATGCTTTTATATTGAATATTGATAATTATCATAATATTCATATTCAATGACAACCTGATACTATTAGCATATCTTGGGCAGCACATATAGTAATAGCTGTGTTGAATCTGTGTTCTAGCTTGGCCATATTACTTAATAAAATGCTTAATCCAAAGATCATTAATGATGAGCTGATTACAAAACATCTCAACAAATGATTCATTAAAAATCTTGAAATTTTTTATCATAATAGTAGACTAAATAATATAGATAAGTGTTCCAATAATGAGCCTGTGGAAAAACTAACTGTGCATACTTATGATGACAGGTTGAAAGAAAAAAGAAGTGACAGATACATAAAGAATGTCATCCTTTTTAATTTTGTTAAAAACAATCTGAAGAGCATTGAAGATTATATAAAAGCTCTGCAAGTTGTACATAAACAAGAGCCAATGCAGGAATATTTATCTGATCACACAATTCCAATTATTGTAAATTGACCTGAACAATTCTATATCCACAAAGCTATTGCATATCAGTTTCTTCTCAATAATAAACTTATTCTACCATTTGTTATAATATTTTTGTTTATGATAGAACCTTTTTACATTTCTTTAAATGACCATGAACTTGTTTTTGTATAAAATTTGTTTCTGTTTAATGATATCTACAAAGACATATTTAAAAAAAATAGGGATCTTGGTAAAAAGTTACTCTATGGCAGATCGATCTAATTCTTCATATAATGTGCATAGTGTGACTTGATATTGTTGATATTGTAATTTCAAAATTTGACTGCATTTGCAAAAATATTAAATACTTATATCTAACTGATCTTTTGACTAATTTAATCTCTTTAGTTCTTGATATTTATGTGATACATTATTGAAAAGACAACTGGCTAGTATATAAAGAAGCTTATATATGTTACTAGAATGATCTTTTTCTTAAATTTGACTGAAAGAATTATAAACATGTACCTTTAATGTTTTTCTCTGATATTTTTTATTGAAAAGAGACTAATCATCCAATGTTCGATATGATTACTAATCATCTTGCTGCTTTAAGTGATTGTTCCATAGAGATAGTCCACAGCATTATTAGATAATATACAGCCAAGTTTTCTAAGGGTAATCAATTACAAAGAGAAGCACAATTTATTTTTCAATAACAAGGAAACAATGCCTTCTAACAATATTTTGTGAATTCAGTTAAATATCTGTATATAGCAAAGCAATTGCATATGCTTTACCAAAAATATGCTATATTACTTTTAGAAATATTCAAGAAAATTTATCAAACATGTCATTTGTATCCTTTTATTCTTGATTTATCTAACAATATTAATTCATACAAATTACCTTCTTTAGGTTACAACATAATGGATTAACATCTTTCAGGAGGTTTTGTTACTCCTAGAAAATCTTTTATGACTGTTTTGTGTGATTTTTTGCATTGTAATTGCACTGACTACATTAGCTGTTCAGATAATGACAAAATTCTTACATGCAAGCATGATTATCACAACTATTGTCTAGAAAAATGCCAATTTAAGTACTTAATATATTTTGATTATCTTCAAAATGAAATTAAAAAAAATGTTAATGCTTTAAAGATAAGTTTGATGGATGCATTAAATAAAAAAGATTTTAATGATAAGACTGAAGGTATGGTTGAGAATGATTTGGATAATGTCAATACAGCAACATATAATGTATCAATAACAGAGAATTTATTAGAACAAGCAAAAAAATCATTCTACAAATTGTAATTTTTTTTTTTTATTAATAAAAAATTGGAATTTTACATATGTAATTATACAAATTTAATATCAAAAAAAATTTATTTCTATACTACTACAATATTCAACAACATTATCGGTGATTACTATGACATATTTAATACAAAATTATCGCGATATCACTATTATACTTAGAGATGGGCTAAATTGATTACTTACGGTTATTTAATAGCAATAATTTAAAGTTCTTGATATTTGTATACAATAACTATTATGTAGTTTATATCAAAGAAATTATCATTCTTAATTATGTAATTATTGTATAACGATCAATTCGCATAACGATCAATTCTCATAACTGATAATGATAAGTATACTATAAGTAATCGTAAAGTAATCGTCCATCACTAATACAAAAATTCGCAAATTTGATTGGCTAAGGCATCGGAACATCGTGTTACACAATTTCCTTATTCGGCAGTTTCTCTCCTCAAGTTGATGGGTCGGTTCCTGTGCCCCGTTTCCTCCCCCGATTCTGGCACGTGACCCGATTGGGTCGTGGTTGTCATGTGAAAATCGATAATAGCTAGTTGACTCTATGTCAACTTGTATTGGATAAATCTAAAAAATATGCTAACTTTAGGGTCCGCATCCTACGTATTTCATTTTATTTTCAATTACCCTTAAAATTCGAAAAATCAAATTTTTACATATGAAAATTTGGTGTGTAATTATTTTGATCTTATATTACAGTATTACACATCATCTGTGTGACAAATCAGGTGCCTATTAAAATTACTCAAATGTGAATCGTATATCATAACGATTTATTTTTCTATTTTTTGCCTAATAATGCCAAAAATTGTCTCAAGTTCTATAATTTCGTCCTCCGAACAGACAAATACACGCCCAGAACAACACCTTCATGTTTACTACTGCCTGTGTAGTGAATTTATTTTGGTTATAGGTGCATAAATACATATTTTCTATTATTTATTAAATTTTAATATTTATTTTGAAACTTATACTCGCCAAAAGATGCTCGACTTGATAAATTACCTCGTCGTACAACAGATAGAGCTCATATTATTGCGAACGGAAAACGAGTTTATAAATTAAACGCGGTTGAAGCGGAGACACCAATGATTTTGAAAAGGTACATTCTGTTAAATTCAATTCTCTGTATCAGTATCAGCCACAATAATTATTTAATAATTTCATCTTCAAGGGCTGATGGATATGAAAAACAATATCGACTACATTGCCCACGTTGTAATCTTTTTATTGCCTACGAGACGACTGAAAGGCGAAAATCTGGACCTTATACTTATATCGTAGAAAGTGGTTTAACAGAAAATCAAGGTGTTGTACCACAGGACGCAATTAATGATTAAATTTCAACAAAACTGTATTTGATATATAAAACTACAGCAGAGACCGTTAATGTTACACGTATATTAAAACTGGTGAGGAATTATATCCAACATAAATAATTTAATTTGTGATTGATCACAGGCGAGAGGGATTCACTTTGGATCGGGCACTGTCTTTGCTGTAATATAAAACAAGTTTGCCTTTTTTTATCGGTAGATTTATTTCTTTTCTCGTTCTACATGAAAGGAATCGCAATAAATTTATGTCTCTTTACATTTCGATGAAGCTTTTATACTTCATTCACTAATCAAAGCGATTTCATGAATTTATGATAGCTAAATAGCAATTTATATTTCTTATAATATTTGTTTCATGCTGAGTTAGAACTGGTTGTTTATTCCTTTACTGTAAATGACACCAATATGATGAACTTATAAGAATAATGAATTAATTACAGTCAAACCTCCCTAAGTGCATGTCCTTAGAAACAAATGTAAGTGCTTATTTATAGAATTAATGTTTTGCTACTATTTAATAATATATACAGGTAAGAACGTCCCGAATATGGGCCAGGTGTGATCTCATAGGAGGAAAATCGTCTGATTGCTAATGCAAATCAATTGCCCGGGTAACTTATTTATACATTTTAAAGTACTATTCGATAGTGAAACGTTTCACTAATAAAAAATAGCTTTAAACGAACGTTTATATTCACTGGGCAAAATAATCTTAATCCCGACGAACTTTGTTTAGAAGGCGAAATATACTTATTATTTTTAATATTAAAGTAAGGTTATGTTTTAAAGTTTTTATTAGTATATATTTGTTTTTTTTTTTTTAATATTAAAGATCTTTTTGGTTTTTTGATTTTATTAATATTTTTGAGTAATATGTTTGCATGAAATTATTACAGAAAGAGTGTATAACTGATTATATATATAATTTTTTTATATGTCTTACTTATTTAAAGAATTTACTTTAAGATTTTTGTATTCTTTGCTTAGATGTTTATTTTAAATCTTTTGATTTTGCCTTTTTGTATTAAATTTACTAAGTCATGTTCAAATTTTTGTTTCAATCTTAGGATTAATTATTTTCAAGGTAAATCTTTTAAAGTTTTTTGTATTATTATAATTGGGATCAATACTTACAGTTAAAATTAATTATTAACTGTATTCTTATAGAGTTTATATAATTTAGTACTTCTTTTATAATCTTATTGGTGTTTTGTTTATTTTTATAAGTTTTTTTATACTACGTATTAATCTAATAAGATTTGTATAATATAATTTTATATTTGAATTAACTGATAGTTAAGTTAGTAGTTTTTTTTTATTTAAAGATTCTTATTTATACAGGTTATTTGTTTTAGGTTTTTTTTTAAATTAAGATTTTTACAGATAGTATTATTAAAGATTATATTAATTTTATTTAGAATTTTCAAATAGAACTTTTTATAAAATATATATTTTTTAGATTTATATAATATTATATATTCTTAAAATTGGTTTTGGTACAATTACAAATACAAGTTACAATTTCAAATATTTTGTTTAAATTGTTAAAATAAAACTATATAATTTTTAAATTTTTACTATTGATAAAATTTAAATTTTAGATCTACTGCTTAGAAAATAACAAAAGTTTACAAATTGTTTATTTTTGTAGTTTGGTCTAGTCTAGATTTAGAATTAAATTTTTTTTACTAATTTAAACTAATTTGTATATTAAATTTTTTTAGTTTAGTTTAACTTAGTCTGATTTGTAGAATTTATTATATAAATTTAAAAATTTTTTGATTTAGTTTAGTTTATAATTATAAATTTTTTTTAAATCTAAATTATAGAACCTAATACAAATCTTTAATAACAACCCAATTACTATACTAGAATTATCATTTTTATTATTATAATTTATTTTAATTTTTTTTGTATTAAGATAACTTCTTTGGTCTTTTGACTTTTATTAATAACTTTTTTGATAATGTGATTCTATGAACATTATAAAAGAGTATACAATTGGCTATATATGTAACTTTTTTATATTATCTATTTAAGAAGTTCACTCAAAGATTCTTTACTAATTGCTATATCTAATATTTCTGCTTAGATATTTTATTTTAAACTCTCTAAATCTGCAACTTGTATTAACATCATTGGATTATATTCAGATACTCAAATTATTATCTCAATCTTAGAATTATTTTATTTTTGAAATAAACCTTTTAGAGCCTTCTGTACTTATTTTTACAACTGATTTAGGTATTGTTATAACAGAACTAACACTTGCAGTTAGAGTTATGTCTTTAACCTTATGCTCTTGTAGAGTTTACTTGAACTTTAGCATCTACTTTATAGCATAATTCTAGTACTTAAATAGATCACTGTTTTTTGTTTAGACTTTCAATTCAGATAACCTATATAAAACTATGACCAGTTTATTAGTATACTAGGTTAGCTCAATATCTTTTTCTTTTAGTTTATTTTGATAACCTGATTGATAATACCTTTGAGCTTTTTCCAATCTAGAGGTTCTTGTCTATTCAGGTACAATGATCTTGATATTTATTTTCTTGAGCTAGTTTTTACAGTAGTGCTATTAAAGTTCTGTTTATCTCTTTACTCAGATTTTTTCAAATAAACTTTTTGTTATCTAATTTTAATTGATTTACATAATCACAAGAACTTATTTAGTGTTTTAATCATTTGATTATTAGTTTGTATTTCTTTGTATAACTATACATATGCCTTATGACCTGCCAGTTATGCTAATGTAACTGTTATTACAGTTATTTCAATTCAATTATTAGTAACAGTTGTTATAATTAGTGATTTAATCTGTTTAAAAAATTAGCATCTAGATTATTTGTCAAATAGGTTATAAGTCACCTAAATAAAAATTAGATCAGTTATTCACTTAGGTTACCTATATTACTTTCATCTAAATTACCTTCAACAGATTACTTGTATTATCTCTAATAGGTTACTCAAATTATCACAGGTCAAATGAATAAATAAAGGGTGAATAATAGATAAATAATAGAAAAAAAATCTGCTATTATTCTACCCTATATCTACCAAATAATGGCAGCATAATAGCAAAATAATAGTAAAATAACAGAAGGTTTGTCAATATAGATAATATAATAGTAATATATTAGCAAACTAATAGAACAGTTCTATTATTTTACTTTTAGTTACAAAGACTAAAAGTAAAATAATAGAACTGTTCTATTATTTTGCTATTATGTTACTATTATGTTACTCATATTGACAAACCTCTTGTTATTTTACTGTTATTCTGCTATTATGCTGCTGTTATATTGCTATTATTTAGCAGATATAGAATAAAATAATGGCAGATATTTTTTGTTATTTACCTATTATTCATTCTTTATTTATTCATTCAACCTGTGCACATATATTTCAAACAAGAATAGAATTACTACCAAAAAAATTTTTAAGTAAAATTTTATTTTTTTAGATTAAGGTTTGGATTTTGCTATTAAATTAATGTTTAAAATTATTTATTATAGTAAAATTTTATAAAAAAAACTTTTAATTAATGCATATAAAACAGTTTTATAGACAAAATTTGGGTTATAAATATTTTTTTACAAAATAAATATGAATTTTTTTATTTGTATTATATACACTTAATCTTGAAATTTGATTGGTCTTGAAACAATTTAGAATAGTGATTTTATCAAAATTTATACTTTACAACTATGTACAACAGATCTAGATTTAATACTGTAATAATTGCTTTTACTTGTTTAGATATTTTATTAAAAATTAATAAGTTTATTATATATTTAATCTATATTTAGTTTCAAATTCTACAATATAAACTATTACATTTAACAAACAACAATTCACTTATTATCTCAGATAACATTTGGCTTCTTTTTAAAGTGATTTGGTTCCTTGTATCAGAAAAAAGTCAGTTACTCAGAACTGAGATAGCAGAAATTAATAAATATTTACAAGTTATTTTATTTAAAATAAAATAATTTTGTTTTTTATATTATTAATTATAATTATTAGCTTTTTCAAATAAGATCTTTTCATTTAAATAGTTATTGATCTCAGAAATGTTATTTACTTTTTGACTACTACTAGTACTAAAGATTTTTTTATAAAACTAGATGCAGTAGTTCTTTATAAATTTCTTTATAGATTTCTGAATCATTAGTTATAGTTGTTTTTTTTTAAACTTGAAATTTGGCTTACAATTTACTAATAGTTTTGGTCTGTAAGATATTAGGCCATGCATTTATTAATTTTAATCTAGGATCTATTAAAGTGGCTAATAGTTTAATATCTTCTAAATCTTGCCAGTAATGTTACAAAAAATTATAAATTATTTCTTGAATTTTAGTAATTATGGCTTTAGATAAGAATTGATTTTTCATATTGTTGTTAAGCTTTTTATTACTGAAGTCTTCATTTAATAACTCTTTATCTAAAGTTTTAAAATATTAGTTAGCAGTTATTCCTACTTACAAATTTATTAATTTTATATATTTATTATTATTAAAGTTATTCTTAGCAGATTTATCAAATTTATTATTAGCAAATTAAATCTTTAAAAATTCAATAAATAAATTAATAATTGAAATAATAATATATTGAATTCTACTAAAATAAATTATTATTTTATCAAATGACTTAAATACATAAACCAATTCTTCTAATAACTGCCATTTATAGTCTTTAAGCATGCATTGTTTTAACTTTTCAGAGTCTTATTTAACATTAATTTTTTTTGTAGAAATAAAGTTTCAGAAAGTTACTTAATTGCCAAACATAATTTTAAGAGTTTTTTTCAAGATTGATATAAAGAATTTTAGCAAGTTTTTGAGTCATTTATAGTATATAAAATAATTAAAATTTTTTTATATATTTTTATTTTATTTTTTTTTTCTAATTCAGATAATTTTTATCTATATTTTTAGAATTGTGAAGTTGGATGAGGTTTATACTAGTCACCTCATAGCTTACCAAGTTAACTTGTATCT